TGATAACCGCTTCCAAAAAATTTCGGTTACCGGTAACCGATTGAATACCGATTTTCTAAAATAAAATTGTACTACATCTTTATACCCGTGCCCTACCAGAGACAGACATCGACTTACAGTTGTCTATATGTCGTCTGTGAAAGTTAAGTCGTGTGCTTTTGATCGTATTCTGATTGATATTATAGTTCATTGGTTATGGTAGTCGGTACTCGGTATTTATGAATACCGGTAATCAGATCTTAACTTGTTAAAACATATTAACGTTATTATTATAACGTTTTATGTTAGGTGAAAAATAGTCATGATAACCGGTAACCGATAACCGGGAATACAAATAGGTTTATAATAACAGTCACCAATTATAGGTACCCCAAAATTCCAGGAAATTAGGTTTTTACTAAACCAGTTTCAAGCCCTGTATATAATAGGTATATTACATAACATAAAATGAAACATGTATGTTTAACTAATTTTGAATTATTTTAATATAATGTTAAGAATTATAAGACAGTGTCCCAGATTTTTGGGTAACCGTAATAAATGTTAGATCTTAGGTGAGTTTATTTCATTATGTAATTTATTGAAATAGTTTTAATTGCTTAAAGTTTAGTATAGTTTCATAGTAATTATTCTAAAAAATTAAGTTGAGGTTAAATCCTGAAAAACAAATTACTTATCAAATTTTGGTTATTACAAAAATGCTATTAACTAGCTGGTGTGGATATCTGTAGTGCTTTTTTTCAATTCAATATAAGTTTTAATTACGATTTTCTTATTCACGCCGGCTAGGATACAGAGTTATCTGAAACAAAAATAAAGTCAAAAGTACTAACAGACTGAAAATATTTAGGAAAAGGTTAATATCTATTATTGATATATACTTTTTGAGCAACTTGAGAATAGTAAAATTAGTTTATTATACAATACATTAATTTTACAAGAGTTTTAAAATAGCCGCTCTGCTGTACAGTAGATGTCTATAGTGTACTTCGTCATTGAAATGAATGTGTTAAATTTGAACTCAATGATAAATCACTGTTTATGATGATAGACGGATTTCTAGTGAAGACAGTCTAATTTTTTGGTAACAAAGGTTACCCAACCAATATTTTAATAAAATATGTTTGTATTTTAGATTCTGGGCGTATAGCGATGATTGCAATGAATGTATTGATTTTAATATAATAATTTGGGTTTCAAACAGAGATGCAAGGCTGAAAAATGTCAAGGCTATTGAAATGAAAAATATTGAAACTTTTCAATATCAAAATTTCATAATCGTACGCATACACCAATAGATAGGTAATGTCTATGTTTACAAAGGTTATTCATATTTTTTAGTATTACATAAGTCTTTAAAATTGTGAACTATTAAAATTAAAACTGCCAATGTTTTGTGAATATCCTATGTGTGATGTTTAACATTTTTAGTCGAAGTTTGGTACAGTCCTAAAAGTTAATATTAGTTTCTATTGGAAAATCGTTAAATTACTAGGAAAATAAATATTTAAACACTTCTTCAATATAATTATTATTAGTATTCAATGATTACCATTTAAATGCAATTAAAATTTCCAGCATCTAATAATTTCATTATATAAATCACTTTTCAATAATTTGATAATATTATTTAGATGTGTAAAAAAAAGGTATTGAATCATATACAAAACAAATTAAAGGTATATAAAAGTGTTAAATCAAAAGTTTCACGAAAACATGAAATGTTTCTGAAAATTTTCAACAAGTCACTGAAAACATGAAATTTTACATCTTTGATTTGAAATAGTTCGATATTTAAACGAAAACTAACGAATTTATTTATTTTGTTGTAATTCAAAAATATTTTTCATGGGCATTTGATACTATTACGTAAATATAATTATGTTTGTATATGTAGGGTACCCCATTAAATTTTTAAAACATTTAGATTAATTTCATGCTATCGCCTATTTATACGATGAATCCATAAACCTATACCCAATTGACTCAAAAGTTAATAACAATTATAATATATATTAATATAAAATAAATAAACATACAATAAATAAATACTAATATAATAAATGGAGTATTTATGCCAAAAATTAAGTCAATCCATCTCAAGAATACAAATAGTAAAATTAATAACATTAATATCAATATCAAAACACATATCATAAATTAATTTAGTTGATAATTATATATAATATAATATAATATAATATTATTATAATTATATTATATTATGCTGGCAGACTAGATTTTCAGAAAATTGGTACGGTCTTTAAAAATCAGGGTATGTTAAACTAGGGAGAAAAACAATCATTAAGTACCTACACGTTAGATAAGTACTGCAAGGTATTTTAGGGAAGTATTAATCTATTCTACAACGGAAAATGGAAATGCCGATAACGATGATTAAATATATTGTGTATGATTCATACAACCTAGTGCAACTGCAATGTTCAGCTTATTACCACTTCCCCACAGTTAGTTGTCATGAAAAGTTTTGAAAGTATTGAAAAAATACGTCATGAATCTAATAATTTAACACCTAGGAAATAATATGAAAAATATGCTTCACTTCAGTACATTGATGAAGTATCAAACTATTATTAGTTAGGTTCTTAAATAAAGTAATGACAATGGATATATTTTTAAATACCATAGGGAAACTATTGTAACTATTATGAATTTATATTTATGCAATTGCGAATTTAATATATTTAATTAAATTTTAGACACATTTTTTGAACCACTGATAATAAAATATTTTATGGTACCAATATTCTGCTTATTTCATTTCTTTGATTCAAAACACAATAGACCTCACCAATTTTCCGTTTACCGGCAGACTATATATCATTGAATTCAAGTTTGACACATCCATTGCAGTGACCCACTCAACACATAGATACTGTACAGCATACCGGTACTCACTTGCCTACATGTTTTAAGTTTTTTCTCTGTTTACTGACGAGTTACATTTTTATAATTTCATATTCCAAATGAGAATTTTATTCGGAGAGTTTCGTTATTTAAAAATCTATTTTCTGACCTTTATGTTATTAGTCAATAGTTATAAGTATGTAAGTTTATATGAGTGGAGTAGTGAATAAACATTATGCGGGTACCCATAACCCCATATACCACTACATTCAGCGCATCAAAACTTTAAATACTTATAACCCATACACTATTGTATTATACTATTCCAAAATTCAATTTTTATGTATGAAAGTACTCCAAAAATATATATATATATATAATAAAATTATGTAAATGCATGTTTGTGTGTGTATGTCCTAAATGCATTTCCGAACAGCTGGACCAATTGCGATGAATGGTACAGAGATTGACTTCTGGAAGAAGATTTACGAATTACGATGGACATTTTTGTTTGTAAATGGTTGCTATTGGTTTTAACGATAATAATTATTTTTAAAGCGATAAGCCTGTTTGCGCAGTATGGCACTTCTATGTAGGTATTTTAGTACAGAATGTCTCAAGTTTGAACCACGGTTTCGGTGGACCATTTTTTCGCATTGTTTTTTCCTTATTTTTCATTTTTTCATTTTTCTTCCTTATCTACACATACGAATGTTTTTTTTTATTCATTGGATTTTAGTACGGTTAAGTACGGTTTTGCATTAGTTGATCGTATTATTGTAGGTTGAATTAAGTAAAAACGATAAACTTGGGATAACATTGATGACGTACAAACTACACGGGCTCCGCGATCTACTGCAGGAGATTGCCTACCTGATAATATACTGCTACGAATGTCAAGGACAATAAGAGACGAGATGGCTATACATTAAAATATAATATCATTTACACTTAAAAAGATATTACTTCCACATCATGTTACACCCAAAAAAGAGTTGAACAATCAGAATTTTTTTTGCTAATATTTAGCTAGTATTATATAAAATATTTAAAGAATATTATGATTAAAAAATATTTTAAACAATTTTCATAGATTTCGAAATAATTAGTGTCTTACTTTAAATGGAATAGTCAATTTAACGATGGTTTTTCTGTCAACTTCTTTCGTTTTTTCAATTTCCTTGCAGTCGACAGTCACCATATTCCTAATAGGCTGTATCTCCTTAGATCTTACGTTTAATCCTATTTGTCATTACCTTGATTGACTGACGTTGAAACGACAATACAAAGCATTGATAAGCATATTTATATATCTTTTGTGCAATCAGTAATTTCATATGGGATAGAGATTTGGGGAGGGACTTACAATATCCATTTAAACAAAGTTAAAGTTATCATGAATAAGATTATTAAGTATATTTTACGTTTACCTAATTATACAAATACTGATTATTTATATAAAGAATTTAATGTACTCAGTTTCGATAGATTGCTTAACAAATGTACCCTACTATTAGCTTTTAAACATAAAAAATATTTTACAAATTGTAATCATAACTATAATACAAGACTAAAAAAAAATATTAATATAAACACACCAATTTGCCATAAGCATTTTGGTAGCAAGAGTTGCTTAAATCGAGCGATAGCTCTTTGTAGAAAATTAGAAATTAATATTAATAATTATCCTAACTTTATTAATTTTAAGCGTTATGTATTATCCATAATATAAATTGTTGTTATAACTATTCTTTTAAGTAATTTATTAAGTTTTATTTTATTTTCTTATTGTAATAATATTAGATGTCACTCAACTAACGCCTGCTAATCTAAGATCGCCTCAACATAATTTTGTTTACTTTATTTTCTATTTTATTTAATCTCCAATCTCTCATGTCTATTTTATTACTACCTACTACATATTAATAGTATTTGAATTAAGGCCTTAATTAAGAACCTCTCACCTTCACCACAAGCTTTGCTTAAAGGAGGTGAGCAAACAAACTTATTAATGTATTATTTATTGTAACTTTTATTTTACCAAATACCATTTGTTTGCAAATACATATATATTATTATTTATATTTATTTAAAGCAAACAGAAGTATAGGTATATCATTTTACAATTTATATTAATTTGAGAAATTGACCGAAAAATGCTTATCCGTATTCAAACGCTGCCTATTGTGGTTCAAAAGCAGGTCGCTTTCGTCGATAGAAAGCTGCTCCGAAAACTGCTCGTCCAAGCCCGACAAAGGCTTGTCGTCATCGCAAATCTCCCCGTCGTCGCCTGACTCGTTGAGTTTTTCTTTAAATAAACTTTTCCATGCCTGGGCTTCCTTTTTAGCTTCACAGTATATATTTTTTTCCTTGTCATCTGTCCACTGGTTAAATTCATTGATCAGGTATCTTGGTTCAAATTCCTTCGATATGGGAAACATTTGAAACATCCTTTCCGCCCGACAAATGGCCATGTTAAATAAAGCTAATTCTATATCTATAGCATCAGCATTATGCTTTCCCGTCTCCCTAGTCAACCATTTGACCACTGCAAAGTGATGGAAACCCTCTTCAAATCGTTCATTGTTCTTGGCTTCAATCCCTAGCGCCACACACGTTTTGACGAGCAGTCGAATGTTCAGCCTTTTTTTCGCTTCTTCTTTTAATTCCAATAAAGACCAGTTTCCTGGTGGGTTAGGATCCATTTCTGCTACCATAATCTTCGCCTCTAAATCTAGTTCGTGATGAATATTTTCTGCAGCTCTGGCACATTCAAAGAAAGCATTTACTGCCAGCTTGGTTGAACCGACTGCTTTGTACTTGAGGCCCAACTCGAACTGTATTTCTGCTTTTATCATCCGTGGAATATTTTCTGGTTCTCCTGACGCTTCAAGCAGTCTGTAAGCGTTCTGTAACGTACGCAGCGCCTTCTCCGGCTTTTGATTGATAGCGATTTGTCTCAGTAGATGTTTTTGGAACATACATGTCAGCGTCCATACGCTGTATGGCTCTTTAAGAAACCCTCCATATTCATCAACTCCCATTGAGTGGTGTAGGTCTGACGTTACCGATGGAAATATCAGTCTGTTTGGGCCGTCGGCAATGGTTCGAGCCTTCTCTAGGTAATACATGGCATCTTCAATACATTTGCTATTGCCGTAAAATACGCCTGCCGCGTACCAGAACACTGCAGATTCCGGCCTGTTATCTTTGACACCGTCACAGGCGCGGTTGTTCAACATAAGAGCAGTAATCAAAATAGCTTCGGCCACCCACAACCATTTGAACTCCGGTGGGTCAAACCATTCTGTTGTGTTAGATTGCTCATGCTGACAGACTAGAAATACAGCATGTAACATGTCAATCGGCGATTCGCTTACTTTCAGCAAATCATGAATTGTTAACAGCAGATCTGGTTCTGATAGGATCGATGGACCACATTTGTACGTATGATGTTGGATTTGTCGTCTGTTGTCCATATTCAGTATGAAGTTTGTATATTGTGAATGAAAATTGTTCTCCAACTGATCAATGAAGCACTTATCCGCCGGTGAAATATATTTGTTGCGATCAGTGTCCATTTCGTCACTGAACGATTCTAATGACAGGGACGATTTTCCTCTTTTACTTTTCATTATATCACACTGTTTCGTTTTATCGTGTTGTAGCTGTACCCTACTTTTCTTCAGGTACCGACTCTTGACATGTTTGTATATTGGGTTGATGTTCTTCTTAGGCAGCGTTGGAATAGTTGTCTTTGGTAGACAGCGTTCTGGTGGGTTTTCAATCATTTTTTTATGATATTTTAAAAATACAAATAATGTTAGTTCAGTATCGTTATTTTTTTTTAGTATTGGTTGCCATGTAATAATTTATTCAAGTTTAATTTTTTAACTGTGTATACAATTAAATTTAATGAAGACTGAAAACACTTATATTATATTAATTAATTAATTATTTATTACAGTTAAGTTAAAAACAATGATGTAATATAAACTACTATTACAATTAATAATTTATCAAATACAATTGTCCACATAATATATATTTTATTTTTAAAACCGAATTGGTCTATCCAATTTTGCAAAATAGACGTTTTTGTGATTACATGGTTACTTATTAACAAAAACATATATATATATATATATGATTCACAGATTATCTTTGTAGAGGAAAAACATCGAGTAGCGTGCTATGGTTTTTTTTCTCAAAATTATTTGTAAGGATTTTCAAATTTAACCTCCTAAAAGTAGAAAGTAGATTTGATTTGCTGCCAGAAATCTCATTTTAAGATGGTGATTAAAGTATTTTATCTACTATAAAAAGTCAGGCACAAAAAAAAAGAATAAATAAAAAAAGAAACACACATCGTAAAATGAATACATTCTTCGCTCTGCTGAGAATCGAAAATAACAATTTTTCTTCGTGTAAAATTATCATAAATATTTACCTAATTACGAACATTTTAGATTCTGGGTGAAACGATGAATGTATTGATTTTACAATGATGTGTGTTTTTTTTTATATTTTTATTTTTTTATTTTTTTTTGTGTCTGTCATCACGTTTTAGGATAGTAAAAGTGCTTGGATTTTCTTTAACAGTAGCTTTTCTGATAGGAAAGTGAATCTAGTTGGTACTTTGGGGGTCAAAAGTAAAAATTTCCCAGTAGTTTTCACAAGCGCGGGGAAAAACAACATAAAAATTAAGGAAAAACGGGAATTTTTACGCAAAATTGGTTTTCCAAAAAATCGATTTTGGTTATTGGTGTAACTCTAAAACAAATGAACGTATATACATGAAATTTTCACTGGTTGTTTATATTTGCATTTTCTATACACGATAACATTTTCAAAATATTTTGATTTATTTTGAACTGTTTAGGGACATTTTCATTTTCCATTTTTTTTTAGTTTTTTTTCTAAAAATATCAGTAAAATTTTATTTGTTGGTTGCGAAAGCTTGAAAATTTAATAAGAGGCTACTAGTATATTGTTTCAAAGGCAGATGAAAAATATTAAAAATCCATAGTCACGATTTTTTTTTTATAAGCATTTAAAGTTCAAAAATTGACAAAATATGGAAAAATCACGAAAATTAGCAAATTATTTTGAGTTACGAATCGTAAAAATTTTTCGTTTTAAATCTAAGATTTGAAAATATAATACAAGATTCCTTATAAGATTATCTACCTTTATCAAAAAAAAAAATGTCTATAAGAAAGTCAAATTAAATTTTTATGAGTGTTTGAAATTCAAATTTTTACAACATTATCTAGATATTCACTTGATTTCTCATGTAGCGATTTTCTTATTTTGTTGTAATTCTAAAACGAATAACTGTAGATACATGAAAATTTCACTGAATGTTTAAATTAGCATTTCCTATACACCATACAATTTTGAAAATATTTTGACTCTTTTTGAGATATTTACGGACATTTACCGCTTTCAATTTCTTTTAGTTTTTTTTTCTATAAATATCAATAAAGTTTTATCTGTTGAGCCAAAAAGTGTAAAAATTTAATACAAAGCTCCTGATATATTGTTACAATATCAGTTGAAAAATATTAAAAATACATAGGCACAGTTTTTTTTATAAGCATTTAAAGATCGAATTTTGACAAAATGTATCAAAACCTCGAAAATTATCAATCATTGTAATTAATAAAATGTTCAGTTTTTATAGCTAAGGATTGCAAATTTAAAACAAAGGTTCTCCTAAATAGTTCATACTGTAACCAAAAAATCTAAAAAATATATGAACACGGTTATTTTTTACAGACATATTATTTAATTATATAATTATTTAATTAATTAATTAATTATTATTTAATTACATATTAAAAAACCTAGGATAACTATTTTAGTTATTTTGTTGTGATTGAATAATATTATTCGTGGATACTTGAAACTTCTAAAGTGTACTATTATAATATATCTATGATAGTATCACGGTTTTTGTTGATGTATAGCGCGTTATAAGTACCTAATGGATATTGTGATATGATTAATTTGGAATTCATTATGGTTACCTATTATAGGTCAAATTTTGATTTAGTACCATAGATATGTATATAATATGTCTTATACCTAGACTGACATACCGTCTCCGCTCAGAATCATTTTTCTTATACAATGATATTATATCATTGAATTCAAATTTAATACCATTCATTATACAGTAACCCACTTGTAACCTACTGTACAGCAGAGCACCTTTTTTTTCATTCGATTTACTTTTTCATCAAACAAGATACTGAAGTTCAAAATTGAAACATTATTTAGACTACCTACTTACCGTGTTAATTAACAGACACAAAACTTTTTTTTTTTTAAACACACATCATCGCTCCATTCAGATTCTAAAATTATAATTTATAGATGAGATACATAACGGCCACGAGCCATGATTGAATTATAATTTAAAATATATATAATATATAATCATATATACGTATAATTTTTAAATACTGAGCACAGTGAGAAAGCTATAAGTTTAAGTTTATACAATGCTCAATGATGTATTTTATTTCATTCAATAGGTAATTGTATTATTTATGGAGATATTTAATTATGTGCAATTATATAATTTTTTTTTATACAATTTACATTTTATTAGATAGGTACTTTAAAAATATCCAAACTACCAACCAAAAATAATTTAAGAGTGCATTTATATTAGTTAAGTAGAGGAGTTATTTCTAAATAAATTGGACAATAGAAAAAAGTTAAAAATAATATTAAACGACAATAATGAAAATCAATTTCTTTGAATCACTGAAAATCAGGATAAATAAAAGATGCATTGAATAAGATCGAATACGATGGGGAAGAACTTTGATGTTAGTAACAAGAATACAGAATTAACACTGTGAAAAACATAGGATTAGGAGCTAGTTTAAATTTTAAGCCAATATGGCATGGACTGGTGTACATTAGACAACAGCATACAAGTACAAAACAAAATTACCTTTAACTTTCGTAATAGACTAAATATTTATACAGTATATCCATAACTTTTTAATATTCATACGCCATGCACGTGACTTGATGTTCAAGATATTTACAAATAATCGTGAAAATTTTTCTTGAAATTTAAATTATCGACCCATCAAATTAATAAATTCTTTATGCAACCCAAGATTAATATGGAACAATCGACAAAAGCTTAAATTAAATTGTTATTTAGTGAGCAGTATGTAAAAACTAGTAAAAAATTCGGTACAAAAATTACCACAAATACAACTACAGACCTACAGTTTTTTCATATCTTGTAAGCGTAATATATGTTGTAAAGTATTTAAATTATAATATCCTACTTAAAAACCGCTTTTTTCGTTGTGGATACTTCCCCTAGCTAATGTACCTCAAGGCGCAGTTACCGCAGTACTGAACCCTACGTTTCAACATATTCATCTCTGATCAGCCAAATTCGAAGTACATTTAAACTTATTATTGTGCATATTAAATGTTGGAGGGGATAAGGCAAATCATGTCCCTTCTACACATACTCACCAGAGCTCGTTTAGAAAAGTAGATTTTGGGCTCACGAGAGTATACCAAAGTTGTGAATATTATTTTATTTTAATAAATGATGCTACATGAGGGTTAAGCCACGTGAAAAGCGTTCGGCCTCCATGTAGATGTAGTGATGCCATGTACTTAATCACGGCGGCTATCGTTACAATATACACGTAATATATAAGAGTCTTACCGATTGGTTATAATTTATATTTTAATTATGTACATCAGCTTCTGCACTCTTGTGTTACATATTAATTTGGTGTCCTATAGAACCAGTATTTTAATGATTAAAGTTAAAAAAAGACAACGGTTTATAACCAATACTGTATGGTTAGATGCACTCAAAGTTATATATCAAACACAATACTGAATACAATATACAATATACATATATGTGTATGTAAGCATATTGTGTATAATATGTGAATATGTGATACTATTTATATTGGTAACATGTTTAGCAATTTAAAGAAATTAAAAATTAGAAATTTCCTACTCGTTATTATAGTTCTGGTTAGATGGGGCCTAAACACGTGTAGCAGTCTCCGATTCGACCTCTGGTGGTGTAATTTTGGTCGGTGAGTAAACTTACTCACACATCTACATGCATTTCATGCGTGCTTCAGTATTTGTGTATAAATATAATACATATACATGAATGCAGGGTGAAATAGAGTGGAAGTGAGCGAGTTTTGGAGAGGAAAGGAGGGAGAGAGCCGTTAATTTATAATGGCTGACCCCTCGGCTGGACCGCGTATAATTATTTAAAGTGATACAATTTAGTTAAACATTCCGTTCTATTAATGAGGTTCAGCCTGTAAATCAGTTAATGACAGTCAGAGAGCGGTCCGTGGCTCTAACCGGATGGGGGCGCATATGTGTCGCTGGGCACACCATACAAGCTCAGCACACACACACACACACACATATATTATATATGTGTAAATATGTTTAATGTATATGTATTAGCTATTTATTATTACTAAACGACTGTACAAACGGTGAACAATTGTGTACGGCTCTAATATAGGTACGTCTATTATACATGATTAAATACATTATATACATACACCTTGGTAGTTCCCAGCGTGTTTGTTACAGGCTTCATGGTTCACACTTTGCACACATTGGTATTATTATTATGACTACTCTATATACATGTTGGAGAACCCGGACAAAACTACTGCATGTATATATATAATATAATATATTATACCTATAGTATAATATACGGTATATAAGCGAGTTGTGCGTGAGGGTGATGGTC